GGAGTGACAGTGTGACAGGTGACAGGGTGCCAAGTGACAGGGTGACGGGTGACAGGTGACAGATTACAGGTGACAGGGTGACAAGTGCCAGGTGACAGGGTGACAGGTGACAAGTGACAGATGACAGGTGACAAGGTGCCAAGTGACAGGTGACAGGGTAACAAGTGACAGGTGACAGGATGACAGGTGACAAGTGAGGGGTGACAGGTTACAGGATGACAGGTGACCGGGTGACAAGTGCCAGGTGACAGTGTGACAGGTGACAGGGTGCCAGGTGACAGTGTGACAGGTGCCAGGTGACAGGATAACAGGTGACAGGGTGACAGGTGGCAGGTTGACAGGGTGCTAACTGACAGGTGACAGGATGACAGGTGACAGGGTGCCAGGTGACAGTGTGACAGGTGCCAGGTGACAGGATAACAGGTGACAGGTGGCAGGTTGACAGGGTGCTAGCTGACAGGTGACAGGATGACAGGTGACAGGTGACAGGGTGCTAAGTGACAGGTGACCAGGTGACAGGTGGCAGGTTGACAGGGTGCTAAGTGACAGGTGACCAGGTGACAGGGTGCCGGGTGCCAGGGTACCTCAGCAGACCGTGCCACCAGGGCGTTGCTGTTGTCGATGCGGTACTTGATGGGGCTGGCGCGGCGCGGCAGCAGCACCGACACGTCCAGGCTGAGCTCCGGCCCCTTCTGAGCGTCCAGCTGGTACTGGGCCAGCGCCTGGAACACCATGATGGTGGCCTGCGGGGACACCCGTGTCACCGGGGCTTGGGGACAACGCCCGGGGCAGCCCCAGAGCCCCCCCGGGTGGCCCCGAGCACGAGGGGACCCCACGGCCTGGGGGCTCCTGATGGCACCCTCAGGGGGTCCTTGGGGATCTCCCAGTGTCCCCGGGGGGACAGGACGGGACACGGCGTCCCCAAAGGACAGGAGTTGTCCCCACGGGACCAAGGGGACCAGAGGTGTCCCCAAGGGACAGGACATGTCCCCAAGGGAAGCCCCTGAGATCCTGTAGGACCAGGAGGGTTCCCTGAGCCCAACGCATGTCCCCGGGTGTCCCAGGGGTCCCGAGGTGACCCCCCAACACCTGATGTGTGTCCCCCAATACCCTCTGGGAGCTGTGACACCAGAGATGTTCCCCAAAAAAGATCAACCCCAGGTGACCCCCCAAACCCTGTCTTCCTGTACCCCTTCCCTGTGCCAGTCAGGTCCCCCAGAACCACCTCCCCCACACCAGGGACCCCAGAACCACCTCTCCCACCCCAGGGGCCCCATAAACACCTCCCTGACCCCAATTCTGTCCCCCAGGTGAGACACCACCTTTGAGCCTCCCCAGGGACCCCAGAACCACCTCTCCCACCCCAGGGACCCCATAAACACCTCCCTGACCCCAATTCTGACCCCCAGGTGAGACACCACCTTTGAGCCTCACCAGGGACCCCGTAAACACCTCCCCAACCCCAATTCTGACGCAGCCTCCCCCCTGGGGGGCCGGGGGGTTCAAAGCCCACCTGGGTGGAGCCGTAGCCGCCCCCAAAGTAGTTCTGCTGGGCGAGCCACCGGGCCACGGGGCCCGCCAGCTCCAGCTTCTTCATCTGCAGCAGGGCCAGCAGCGCGTAGGACGTGCCCTCGATGTTGTAGGTCCGGGCGTTCCGCTCCTCCCAGCTCCTCCCGTCTGGGGGGACAGGGGGCCCTCAGCTCCTCCCCGGCGCCAGGGACCCCACAAACACCTCCCCAGCACCAGGGACCCCACAAATACCTCCCCAGCACCAGGGACCCCACACACACCTCCCCAGCACGAGGGACCCCACACACACCTCCATAAACACCTCCCCAGCATCAAGCACCCCAAAAACACCTCCCCAGCATCAGGCACCCCAAAAACACCTCCCGTTCACCAGGGACCCCACAAACACCTCTCCTTCACCAGGGACCCCACAAACACCTCCACTATGCCAGGGACCCCACAAACACCTCCATAAACACCCCTCCTTCACCAGGGACCCCACAAACACCTCTCCAGCACCAGGGACCCCATAAACACCTCCCTAGCAACAGGGATCCCATAAACACCTCCCCAGCACCAGGGACCCCATAAACACCTCTCCTTCACCAGGGACCCCACAAACACCCCTTCCACAAGAACCTCCCTCAAACCAGGGACCCCAGAACCACCTCCCCGACCCCAATTCTGACCCCCAGGTGAGACACCACCTTCGAGCCTCGCCGGGGGACCCCAGAACCAACCCCCCCCACCGCACCCCGGGGACCCCAATTTTCGGCTCCCCCCGCCCAGGGGGGGCTCTCACCTTTGGAGAACTTCATGAGGACCTTCTCGCTCTTGAGCTTCCCGGCCAGGGCCAGCGCGTAGGAGCTCAGGGCCACCGTGTAGGGCCGGGCCAGCCGCTCGTAGCGCCGGGCCAGGAAGTCGGCGGCCTTGTTGATGCTCGTGTCCAGGTTCTGGGGGGGACAGGTGGGTCAGACCCTCAGGGGCCACCCCGAGGGGGGGGCTGGCTGTCCCCTCCCCGTCCCCACCGGGGGCGTCACCCACCTGCACGTGGCCCTTGCAGACCTCCCGCGCCTCCTCCAGCGCCACCAGCACGAAGGCGGTGAGGGACACCTCGGGCTCGGCCCCCACGTAGCCCCCCTGTGGGGGGAGAGACCTCGGGGTCGGGGCTGTCCCGGCGGGATTTGTCCCGGTTGCCCGTTCCCCCTCCCTGTCCCCTGGCGTCCCCAGTGTCCCCATTCCCCTCCCTGATGTCCC